TATATATATATATATATATATATATATATATATAAAATATGGATTAGATATCCAATTCCTAATGAAAAAGATTTATTAGATAGACTTGTAAATGCTTGTATTTTTTCAAAATTTGACCTTAAATTTGGATACTGGCAAATACAAATAAATGAAAACGATTGCTATAAAACAACATTTAATGTTCCATTTGGCCAGTATGAATGGAATGTAATGCCATTCGGCTTAAAAAATGCACTATCTGAATTCCAGAAAATTATGAATGATGTTTTTAACCCTTATATGACATCTATGATAGTTTACATTGATGATGTTCTTATTTTTTCAACTGATATACATCAACATTTTAAACATTTACATATATTTCTCAATACTGTTAAAAATGTAGGACTTGTAGTTTCTGCAAAGAAAATGGTTCTTTGTCAAACTAAAATTAGATTCTCAGGCCATAATATCTTCCAAGGCCCAATTATTCCCATAGATAGAGCTATTGAGTTTCTAATGGCTTTGATACCAAACAGACTCCAAGATCTTATTTTGTCTCAAATTCTTAAATTCTAAAGTTATCTCAGTAACATAGAGAGCATAATGCTATAATTTAATAATGATCTAAGAAGAGAAGTGTAGTATAGAAAGATAAATAAAATAATAATGAATGAAATAACAGAGATATCTAATATTATCCACGTGGTATAATTATTATTTAGTATCTTAACGCTAACTATTATTTTAAACTGCATAATATGAACAATCTTTATTGATACAGATTCAAACAAAGTACATATTGATATAAAGTACAAACAGAGTGAAACTGAATACAGACGGTATACAACTTACAATTTACAAAAGAAGAAACTTGAAAAGTGTTGCCATTCGTACGGACAGAACGATGATAATTTATGTATATTATAGTCACACATTACTGCAAAATAAAATAAAAGGTAATGAAAAGATCTTACTTGAAAAAGGCTTGCCTGAAGGTTTCGCAGAAGTCAGGCGGAATGTGATCGGGTAGAGAGTAATGAAGCCTTTCTGAATAGGGAGAGAGAAAGCAGGCAGAGCTTATGAAACGAGAGAGAGCAGGCGGAGCTTTAGAAGAGGGGGAATAGGTGAAAGTTCCCTATACCTCAAGTGAATGAGAAGAGAGGGTTTTATAGGCAGGAGTGAGCAGACAAAGGTGTCGAGCTGGAGCTGTTTTGATTAGACATAAAGAGTGAAGAGGACGTAAAGAGAAGAAAGGAATTTGGCAGTGGTGAGCTGACAAAGTGAGCTGGCAGAGTTGATGAGAAGAAAGGAATCTTTAAAGTCAGATATAACGTAAAGATAAGGGGTGAAAGAGACATGACACGAGCAAAAGCAACTTTTGTACATGACATGACTAAAAGAAAAAACAAAAGTAACTTTTGTACATGACATGACTAAAAAAAAATAACTTGTGTCGGCCATATCGTACGGAAGGTATCTTGATTAGTGACTTCCGTCGCTTCTGTCGTACGGCTGATGCCATCTGTTGACCCCTTTTGGATGTATATACAGGTGGCTTCACTGGAAAGGAGAATGTGACAACTGTCTAAAACGATAGCTGATATTCTTTACAGTTTGCTGGGCTGAGCAGGGCTTATTCGGGTCTTTGCCTGAAGTCATTGTCGGGCTTAGATGAAGGAGATGTGGCTTTTGAGGTTTCTTTATGTGTGATCTTTAATAACTGATTCTCTAATTCATCTTTAGTTGCTCTAGGGTTTTGTCTTATATATTCTGCGAAAGTATTTGGATCAAATTCTTTGGGAGTATTTTTGATAATCATGAGCAGCAGGAGGTATTCGTTTAGCTTTTATAGTATTTGGGTCCATGCTAAAAACATCCCACCATCGAATCGATATTCTCTTTCCCAATCGAGGTATATATTCAAAATTATTATGAGTATTTTCATTTA